GAGCAGCTAACAACAGTAAAAATAACACAGTTTACATAAAATCATAATCATTTAATTGAAATACAGTGGTCCTCAGGTTAAGTACTTAATTCGTTCTGGAGGTCCGTTCTGAACCTGAAACTGTTCTTAACCTGAAGCACCACTTTAGCTAATGGGGCCTCCCGCTGCCGCCGCGCGATTTCTGTTCTCATCCTGAAGTAAAGTTCTTAACCCGAGGTACTATTTCTGGGTTAGCAGAATCTGTAACCTGAAGCATCTGTAACCTGAAGCGTCTGTAACCTGAAGTGTATGTAACCTGAGGTACCACTGTACATTCTAAAATCAATTCATTCTAAAATCAATTCAGAGTCAAATTAATGGCAACCATTGGGCTAGAGTTGTATGAAGATTACAAAAGGAGGGGGTAATGTGATGTAACACCCTGATACTGCACTATTGGGTTGTTAAAACATCATAATAATCCAGCAGTATTCAAGCACGGCATGCTGAGGAATTTGGTAACAGAGACTGGAGCTGCCTCTGGAGAGGCTGCCCAGCAGGCGAAAGCAGCCTTCCCCAACCTGGTGCCCTGCAGATATTTCGGGAGCACAGCTCCCATTAGCCCAGTCGGCACTATCAGCCGTGCTGTACACTCACGTGGTTCCCCTTGGCTGCAGGTAAGAATGGGGCAGAAATCCCATTCAGATCTACTGAATCGCACAACAAGTGAATCTCCGTCAGAATTTCCACTTCTCCATTTTTATTTTTTGCAATGTGCTTCTCCATCCAGGGCCATCTTTACCTGGGGGTGCAAGAGGTGCAGGGCACCTGGACGCCCATTTCTGGGGGGCACTAGGTTCTTAACTATCTACCTGTTACGAAATAATAAATAGTATTGATCAAGCTAGAAAAACAAACTACATATATACCTAGGTATTACCAAAATGTATGCCTACTGTTTCACTAAAGGACTTTCGACTTTGTGCGCTCATTTACCAAAGACGCATTGCACCAGTGGCAGTGCTCGTCATGGACAACAGCACGTGAAATTAACTCTTACATCAAAATATTATGTTACTTATTGTATTGAGCTGCTATGCGGCAGCAGGGTCAGTGGCACCTTTGACACCTTTGGGGGTGGCTAAAGTAAAATTGGGGGCACTGGGCAGATCTTTGCACCCCGGCGGTGCATATGCTAAAGACGTCACTGTCTCCAGCCAATCAATGTGTGCAAAAATCTGCATGTTTGGGTGAAGCATGCATAAAGATGTAAAAAAATAACATCCCAAAATGCATTCTATTCAGGGGAATTCCTTGCAAAAATGCACATATTGAGAGAAATTTGCACTAAGACGCTGATGAATTTTTATGAGCACTTTAAAGAATAGTAAGAAAGTAAATCACAAACTGATATTTGAATGTGGAGAATGGGAGAATGTGAAACTGAGAGAAGCCAAAATCAACAGATTCCCCAAACTGACAGATTTGGTGGTTTTAGAGACTTATTTATAGTGACTTATTTATTTATTTAATTTCATTTATTGCCCCCCCCCTTTCTCCGAGGAGCCCAAGTTGGCGTTCATGGTTATTCCCCCTCCTAATTTAATTCCCACAGAACCCCTGCAATGTACCACAGGTTAGCAGTAACATCAGCAGTAACATCTAGACCATGGGAGCATTTCAGCCCTGTTCTTGAGCTTGTTTAAAATCTAAAACAGCTTATCTTGTATTAATTTCTTTGAATTTGTACTATTTAGGTTTTTTAAACCTTTTTATAAAGGCAATAGTAGAATTTTCACAGCTGAGTTCTCAACTGTTTATTACTGTGCTTGGCTTTCTTTAAGTTGGGCTGTGTCTAAAACTTGCCCTTGAGGTTTTCAAACCTTTTTTGTAAAGTCAGTATTAGAAACTGTGCCTTTGAGTCCCTAATCCTTTATTACTGCGCTTTGCTTCACCTAGGTCGAGTTAGGATTATAGTACTTCAGAATTTTTGAGAGTTTTACCCCCTTTTTTTGAATTTTGGTCATTTAAGGTTTATGAATCCTCTATTTCCTTCTGAGGAAACTGAATAGTTCAGTGAAATGAGGTTTGTAGCCGGCATCCTGTTAAGGCTTTGTTCAATTTTAGGTTTTTCTAATTTTTTCCTTAAACTTTTTGATTTTTATTATTTAGTTTATTTCCATAAGATAAAATTTCTAGTTGATTACTTCTCGTTTCAGGGATTTTCACGATATTTCATTTGTTTTCTGCAATGTAGGTTAGGCTGAGAGAGAGGCAGTTGACTGACTTCCCAGGTCACCCAGTGAGCTTCAGGCCCGAGTGTGGGATTCGAACTCTGGACTCTCCCAGGTCCAAGCCTGGCACTCTAACCATTAAGTGCAAACTCTGTCTTACTAACTGTCTTGCCTGTGAGGGCTCAGCCCCAGAACCTGTTTCCAAGCCCAGGGTGCAGCCTCGAAACGCATGAAGCAACTGCAGAGAGGAGAGTGCCTCTGAGCATGTGCAGGGACTCTCTGTACACAAATGCATCCCGAGGCTTCACAGACTAACCAGCAAGGCTATGTCTTCCCCGCAGGCTGGCCGGCATCGTCCTTTTCCTCTTTTGCCTGCGATCAAGGGAAGCGAAAGGGAGAGGAAGCACGTGGGCGAAATATCGTCGCTGGGGAGGAAGCAGCAGTGAGAGTTCTGCTAGCAAAATAATCACAGCGGGGCCTGCAGTTAAGAGCGCGGCAAACTGTGGGAAGGAGAGAAGAGTGTGTGGGAGGCCAGAAGAAAGAAACAGAGAAGAGGAAGAAGACGAGATTGTGAATGAGTAACATGCAAAGGGACTATTTATAGGACAAAGTCTGTGTCACACATCCTTTCCCGAAAGGGAAGCACAGCGAGGGAGGGAAAATGTCCCCCCCAGCTGTGTGTCTGAGGATCAAAACATCCTTTCCCCAGTTCACCTTGCCCCAACCACGATCTCATTTATTTCTATTAATTTAATAAAAGTGTATGCAGCTTTTCAAGAAAACCTCTTCCCAAGCCACATGCAAGGGAAAGTGCGTAGCTCAGGGGGTTAGAGTATATTCTGGATGGTGGCTAATGGATTGAGGTTGAATCCTGACAAGACAGAAGTACCGTTTTGGGGGGACAGAGGGCGGGCGGGTGTGGAGACTCCCTGGTCCTGAATGGGGTAACTGTGCCCCTGAAGGACCAGGTGCGCAGCCTGGGAGTCATTCTGGACTCACAGCTGTCCATGGAGGCGCAGGTCAAATCTGTGTCCAGGGCAGCTGTCTACCAGCTCCATCTGGTACGCAGGCTGAGACCCTCCTTGCCTGTGGACTGTCTTGCCAGAGTGGTGCATGCTCTAGTTATTTCTGGCTTGGACTACTGCAGTGCGCTCTATGTGGGGCTACCTTTGAAGGTGACCTGCAAACTAATCCAGAAAGCAGCAGCTAGACTGGTGACTGGGAACAACCGCCAAGACCATATCTTGAAAGACCTACACTGGCTCCAAGTACGTTTCCGAGCACAATTCAAAGTGTTGGTGTTGACCTTGAAAGCCCTAAATGGCCTCGGTCCAGTATACCTGAAGGAGCGTCTTCACCCCCATCGTTCCGCCTAGAAACTGAGGTCCAGCTCCTTCTGGCAGTTCCCTCCCTGTGAGAAGCGAGGTTACAGGGAACCCGGCAGAGGGCCTTCTTGGTAGTGGCACCCGTCCTGTGGAACGCCCTCCCATCAGATGTCAAAGAGATAAACAACTACCTGACATTTAGAAGACATCTGAAGGCAGCCCTGTTTAGGGAAGTTTTTAATGTGTGACATTTTAATGTATTTTTTATCTTTGTTGGAAGCTGCCCAGAGTGGCTGGGGAGGCCCATCCAGATGGGCGGGGTACAAATGTATTATTATTATTATTATTATTATTATTATTATTATTTAGAAGGTCCTGGGTTCAATCCCCAGGGACATCACTTGGGGTCTGGAATTTCAGGGGCACCCTGTGCAATACCAAAATCTGTCTCTTGCTCTCCATTCTGAATAATAGTTGTGGCACCCCCTGAGGCAGCCCCAAGCCCCAGTGTGACCAAACCACTTGCCCTCCCCTAAATCTGCCTCTGGTGACATCTCTAGGCAGGGCTGAGAGACCTGGAAATCTGGAGAGGGAGATGGGCAGCCACGAGCCCCAGGATGGCTAAACTCTGCCTCCACAGTCATAGGCAGCCATGCTTCTGAATACCAAATGCTGGAAACCACAGGAAGGGAGAGGGCTTTTCTACAAAGGATCCTGCTTTTAGGTTTCCTATAGGCACCCGGTTGAGGATGCTGACCTAGATGGGCCACGGGCCTGATCCAACCAGCTCTAAATTCATATTCTTACACAGATGGTCAGTGACTAACAATCCAACTTGGGGTAAGGCATTTGCATCTTCGTATGTCAAACCCGTTGTCTTTGTCCATGGAGTTTTCTTGGCAGGGATACTGGAGTGGCTTGCTGGAGAGCTGGACCATCAAGAAGGCTGATCGCCAAAGAATGGATGCTTTTGAATGATGGTGCTGGAGGAGACTCTTGAGAGTCCCACGGACTGCAAGAAGATCAAACCTCTCCATTCTGAAGGAAATCAGCCCTGAGTGCTCACTGGAAGGACAGATCTTGAAGCTGAGGCTCCAATACTTTGGCCACCTCATGAGAAGAGAAGACTCTGGAAAAGACCCTGATGTTGGGAAAGATGGAGGGCACAAGGAGAAGGGGACGACAGAGGACGAGATGGTTGGACAGTGTTCTCGAAGCTACGAACATGAGTTTGACCAAACTGCGGGAGGCAGTGGAAGACAGGAGTGCCTGGCGTGCTCTGGTCCAGGGGGTCACGAAGAGTCGGACACGACTAAACGACTAAACAACAACAACAAAACACCACCAAAAATATCTCAAAACAACATTAAGAAAGATGACTAATAATGAAGATGACAAACCCTAATCTTGCCTAGGTGGCCTTTGGCAAAGTACCAGTTCCCCAGCTTACAGCATTCGGATGATCCTACATAGCTCAGTTGGTTAGAGTGTGGTGCTCATAGGGCCAAGGTTGCAGGTCCGATCCCCGCATTGGACAGCTGCATATTCCTGCATTTCTGGGGGTTGGTCTAGATGATCCTCAAGGTCTCTTCCAACTCTACAGTTCTATGATTCTATGATCTATGATCCTACTTGCAGGATGCTGGAAGGCAGAGTCAGCCAGAAGATAGATCTACAATAGTACAGTGGTACCTGAGGTTACAGATGCTTCAGATTACATATGCTTCAGGTAACAGACTCCGCTAACCCAGAATTAGTACCTTGGGTTAAGAACTTTGCTTCAGGATGAGAACAGAAATCACGCAGCGGTGGCACGGTGGCAGCGGGAGGCCCCATTAGCTAAAGTGGTGCTTCAGGTTAAGAACGGTTTCAGGTTAAGAACGGACCTCCGAAACGAATTAAGTTCTTAACCCGAGGCACCACTGTATATGACTCATAAGTGTTTGCCAATGGCAACAGTGGCAACAAAACTCTTTCCTCCCCAAGTCCCAAATCAGGCTCCTGAAACGAAGGGTTTTCCCAGACTGATGTTGCTTTCGGGGTGGGAGTCCTACACACACAGACAAAGTCAGGTTGCACAATTATAATTGATTGGGAGGTCTTGCGAAACAGACCCGCTTCCCTAAAAGATCAGACTTTTTTTGGAGTAAGGAAATTGACAGGGAGATGCACTGGTAAGTCTGAGATAACTGTGCTCATTAAATAGCTGGAGCTGCCTACTCTTCCTGAAGACAGAGTGGTACATATACAGGCCATGTGGAAGTGCCCCAAGAATGCTTGGGGGTGGGGGTGGAGAGTGGATCTCAGTTCTGTAATCTCAGTCCTGATTCTGAAATCGGTGCTAGGAACTCAGATAGGGATATGTTGGGAATTACCTCCTTCACTTGAGCCGCCGTATCTGCCATCACCAACTGCCCTGCACCCACCCAGCCCTGGCGATGGTTGATGGACTTTAGGATTCTAGCAAAATATAGATCCCGCAAGCCTGAAGCCTGCGCACCCCATTCTGACAGCGACCATTTAGGCCTGGTCTGCATGCACAGGTGCGAAAGCAGAGATGGTGGAATGAATTGCATCGCTGCAGACTGTGGGTGGGGAATGTCATTTCTGAATGCTACATAAAACAAAAACAAAAAAACTGACTGTAAAGAGAAAACATCAGCTTCTACTTCTGCCTTTTCCTGCTGCTAATTTTCTACTTGCAGGCTCCCTGCTGTTTTTGTACTATAGCAAATAATTTTCAACAGCCTGATTTCCCACTTGCAGTCTGAGGCGGTACAGTCCATGCTGCCCCCTCCATTAATTCTAACCTTGGGCTCTCTGTTGCCCATGTAGACCAGACCCAGGGTCCTGCATGCCAATGGTTTTCAAGGAACAGTCTTTACCAAAGGTGTCATGGGCTTTGAAGACACTCGAACTCAGGACGCAAGGGAGAAACATGATAAGAGGAAGGCACGCTTGGCAAATCCATACCGCGATCAGCTCCCACCCAGAAACTAATGTACCCACTGTGGAATGATGTGTGGATCCAGAATTGGCCTCGACAGTCACTTGCGGACTCACTGTTAAGACCATGTTTATGGAAGACAATCTTACTCGGCTGCTAGGGATCACCAAAGAAAGGTTTTTTGTTTTTTTTTTAATGATATTTATTGGGAATTTAAAGTTACAGAAAAGAGAAAAGAAAGAAAAGCAAAGAGATTAAACAATACTAATCAATAAAAAGAAAATAAAAAGTACCAAACATACCATACAGCAAAATCAAAAACAAGAACAAAAAAATAAATTTAAAAACAAATCCAATATTCCCATACCCTTATCTTCATTAACTTATTTCCTCGACCTCCTCACACCTCCCTTTTTTGTATTCTAATTATTAATTATCTCAGCAAATCCTTTCCATCTTTCACTGTATTCTGTCCTTTAGTTGTCTTAATTTATTTTAGCCTTATCTTACCATAAAAAACCCTAAAACTTAAAAACTTATTTATACATAACTCCTTATAACATTTCTACTAAAGCCTAATAGTTTCATTCCAAGATTTTCCTAACAGTCGTTAATTTTGCAATATTTCTCTAAATGAATTTTTAAACTTTCTGCCAATCTTCATCCACCGTCTCTTCTTCCTGGTCTCGGGTTCTGTCAGTCCTTTCTATCTGTTCCATCTAGTCCATCAACCTGGTGATCTTATGTCCGAGGCTCTTAACTCTTTTCCATGTCCCTTCTGCAGATCTTCTTCATAATTGTACCTGCACTTTACTTTGTCTTCTGCTGGTCTTGTTCTTAATTCCCTTCCTTTGTCTCTGAGGAGTAGATCTCGGGGGAACAACCTAAGAGTGTCTTTATCCCTTCTCGGCTGGTCACCAAAGAAAGGTTTTCAAAGAGTGCACCAGGGAACAGGATCAGTGAGAAACTCAGGAATGGTGGCAGAGCTTCCCTGAAAGGCAACTTGCCCACCACTCCTGATTTTCTCTGTGCAGCATGAAGCAATGGCTGCGTTGTAGGAAGTGTGCTGCTTTTGTGGTGGGGATGGTGAGGACCAAGAGGCACCCTGCAGCTGTGGTGGACAGACCTCAAGCTTGCGGTGGGATCGTCTTCCTTCCTTTTTACAAGAACTCTCATGGTCTACCAGAAAAGAGTCAGATACAAAATGCGGGCTCAGTGTCAGGTACTAGAATGAGCCACACAATGGGCTGGTCTCAGGGACGGATTTAGCTACTGAAGGTAATGGGGCCTTTTATATGTCCAGCTGTCAACAACAAATTGTCGCTGGTTTTGTGTGTTGAATATATGCTATATGGTATTTTATGGACCTAATAGGTATCCAAAGCCATTTGCTCATAACAAAATATGTATTTTATCTTACATTTTAGAAATGTACATCCAGTTGTTTTTTTCCTTTAAATTTTGGGGGCCCCTAAGCTATAGCTTGTTTAACTTATATGTAAATCCGGCACTGGCTAGTCTGTATCTACAAGAACAGATCAACATCTGAATTCTTAAATTATCAGGGTTGCTAAGCTCAAAGCAGCCAGCGGAGTTGAGCAAAGATCTTGCCAAAGACAACCAGGTAATGCTCCTATTTTACAGGGGGCTGAAAAACAGGCAATTATTTGTCTATGTCCAATATTGTTCAATTTTGTTAACATGTTTAGAATCAGAAAGGCTTGCCGATCTACTGCAGATCGCCCAGTGATCTACCCGATAGACGCCAAATCTGCTTTCTGCCAGCTTATGCCTTGGAACATCTCAAGAATGAACTGCAACCTTCAGGAATCTCTTGAAAGAAAAAGGTGTCTGGCCAAGAAAGCCTGAAAAGGACAGCCATGGGATAGGAAGCAATTCAAACTCTCCAAGCTCATGTGCATACAATCTACAGATGCCACTTGTCAGAATTGCCTCTCTCCCACCTCCTTGTGCTCCTTCTCTTCCTCTTCCTTGCAGTTGCTGTTCCTTTGGAAGCATCTGGAGTGGCAAGATAGCCTTGCTTGTTTTCCGCCAGGTTGCCGAAGTGCCAAAGGAAGAGGTTAATTTGTGCCATGTCTCAGGTCCCCCGTGCCTGTGCTCAGTGCCAACACTCAACTCCAGAATGCACCAAGTGCCCCTGAGCAGACACAGAGGGAATTTCCCCTTGCAAAGGAACAAATGCAGAGTCATAGATTGTCAGAGCTGGAAGGGACCCTGGCAGCCTAGCCCTCTTGCTCAATGCAGGATCTTGCAGTAACAGAAGCCCTGGCAGATGACCCAGTCTAGCCTCTGCTGAAATGCTTCCAGCCAAGGAGAGCAGGATGCCCCTGGAGGCTGGCTGCTCCCACTGCCCAGGATCTTTTAGCAGCAGGAAGCCTCTCCTAACCTTTAGCCAAAATCTTCAATTTCCATTCTTTGGCCCTCTGAAGCAACAGATAACACGCTTGGCCTGTCCTGCGTGACAACCCTATCACACAGATATTTAAAGATCACTGTCGTGATAGACACACCACACATTTGAAGCACATGGCTTCCCACAAATAATCCTGAGAACGGCTCTTTGTGAGGGTGCTGTGAGTGGTAAACTACAGTTCCCGTGGTCTTTGGGGACGAAATTATGCCTCACCTGATTCTTCTCTTCTCTGGGCTTGAACACAGTCAGCTCTTTCTACTGCTCCTTATAGGACTGGTGCACATCAAAAATTAGGGTTCCAAATGATGCTCTGGTATTTCCACACTAGCCCACTTAACAAATTAATTTTTAAGATTGTTAATATTTTTATTTGTGTTGCAATTTTAAATTGTTGTAAGCCACTCCATGTGGTGCAGGAGCACAAGAAGAGTGGAACAGAAATGTTATGTATAAATGAATGAATGAATGAATTTTTAAAAAACCTCTTACAGATGAATTGAGTCATGCATGTACAAGTCCCGTTGAGTCTGACTCATGAAGACTATTTCAGTTTAGGAGAGACTTGCTGTCGCACCGAAGATGGTGATGGTAGACAGATGAATTGTCATCGATCTGCCTCTTTTATGAAGGATAACAGGGCAGATCCCTGCCCCAAAGACCTTACAATCAGGGGAGACAAGGGAGGAAAGGAAGGAAAATGGGAGGAGGATGTAAACCATCCAGAGATTTTGTTACACTAAGTGATCATTTTGAAAAATAGATAAACAATAAGCTCTTGCGCCAGCTTTCATAATGGAGGGAAACCTACTTTCAGTTAGATATAGATATGCTTAGTTACATCAGAGAATGGGGACTTGCGGTGCAAGGCTAATCACGCCTATTCAGAAGGAAATCCTATTAAATTCAGTGGGGCTTATTCCCAGGAAAATGGAGTTAGGATTCCTGCCTAAAGCCAGGGGAAACTCTGGGATACCAGCACCTTCTCTTCTGTAGTAAGTGAGAAGATCTTCCCCACTGTGCCCACTTGAAATGTGAAGGCCAAGTTCTCCAGCTGATGGAGGCAATTTGAGTGACTTCCAGGTGATTTCTGGGTTTGGGGAGGGGAAGAGGAAATCTGCTGTCGGTTGTAGTCAAAGTTCAAATTGGGAGTAATAACTAGGACTGTGGGCGTTTCTCCACCACTTTGATTTGCAGAACCGGCCCTCTTACTGGCACCACATAATATTCCTTCCACATTGGTAATAAATCAATCTTTAATGTAGCAACGGCCCTTTGGAACTCCCTGCCTATTGACTGTATCATTTTTGGCACCTGCTAAAAACACCTGCTTTTTCTTTAGACGAGCCTGTCCAGCCAGGTAGCATACTGACATGTGCTTTTTATCAGTGACTTAGAATTTTTAATAGTTGTTTTTAACTGCTTCTGCCCATAATTTTATTGCTTTCTTCTTTTTGTAAACCGCTTTGAGGTTTTTTCCTTTTTAAAAAATCAAGCGATGTATAAATTTTATGAGATAAATGAAATAGACCAATAACTCTCCGCCACTGCCTCCTCCCTGAACGGCGCTGCTGGGCTTACTCCGGAGTAGGCATGTCAGGGTGCCCAGGACTGAGCAAGCGAGAGTGGCCAAAGATTATTTTGCCTATCCTTAGCCACGTGCGCCAGGAAGAGAGTCGATGATCGGTCCCATAAAGATCGCATTGGAACCGAGCTTCCCAGCCAGTTTTTACTTCGGTATTGAAAGAGAAACAAAATGTGAAGCAGAATCGGAAGCGAAGCGGATCTTACCGGCTCTGGTGTCTTTGTCAATTTTCTTCGCGAGCCGGGCTGCCTGCCCAGAGGGTGATCCTGGAGCGCATCCTTGGCGCTTGTTGCTGCTCGGATCCGACGCGAGGCAGTTGCTGGCAGAGGAACGGAGTCAGCCGCGCTGGGGACGCCCGACGGAGGGGCGCGGATGAGGCATCGCGGAGAGAGGCCGGGAGGCGGGGTAAGAGGGAAGGAGGGTGTCGGGGAGAAGAGGCAGGAAGCCGAGTTGCAGAAAAACTTTAAAAGAGAAGTGCGCGCACAGGCGCGCGCAATCACCTTGACACATTGAGAAGAGCGCTACAGTCCGCGACAGCGCGCTTGGTACGCGGGAAGCGTTGCAACCAGGGCGCGCAAAGCAGAGCAAAAACGCTTGGGGGGGGGTGTCGGATTTTCCAAGGGGCCACCCTGGGATACCGCCCCCCTAATCTTTCTCAGCCTCCTCTATAGCTGACAGGGAGAGGCTGGCTGCTTCTGTGAACCTCATTTATTTTGTAAAATTTATGCACCGCTTGACTGCAAAAAAGAGAAAACCTAAAAGCGGTTTACAAAAGATAAAACGGTGAAATCAATTTTTTTAAAAAATCAACACTACTTTAAAACATGCGGAAGTTAAAATACTAAAACAGATTAAAATCACCTAGACTTTCTAAGCATTTTGTCTTGATAGGAATGTGTTTCGAAGGAGCTGAAAAGAGTACAGGGAAGAAGGTGCCTTCTTGATCTCAAAAGGCTCCGAGGGTCATTTTGCTGCGCTCTAAAACATTTGCTAACTCCAGTGCTTTTCTTCTAGGAAAAACGGTGCTGGTTCTGTGTACCTGTGAGTACCCCCAGGAAAAAAGCACCAGCTAACCCTCTTAGTTTTGTGGCATTCCTTCACTTACATTGCCAATGATCACATCTATGCTTGAATGCCAGTTGCAATCTAGTCTGTATTTGTCATGCTCACCTTTCCAGCTGCTGGAGGATAATTTTGCTGTCCTCTGAAACAGGCATCCCCAAACTCGGCCCTCCAGATGTTTTGGGACTACAATTCCCATCATCCCTGACCACTGGTCCTGTTAGCTAGGGATGATGGGAGTTGTAGTCCCCAAAACATCTGGAGGGCCGAGTTTGGGGATGTCTGCTCTGAAACATCCGCAGGCTCTTGTGGTTTTGTGGCACTCCTTCTGTTACATAGCCAACTGCCTCTGTTTTTATGGCAGCTCCAATCTGGCCTGCCGTGTGTCCTTGCAAGAATGCCATGTGGCCTAAGACTGGGTGTGCGTACTACATTTCCCACCTGCCAAGGCCAAGACAGGCCCCTCTCTGCCGGCACAGTGACAGGGGAGACGTGGTTTCAAGAGCCAGATTGGCTGTGGGTCCTGTGCCCTTTGAGGCAACCTTTCACAGGGGGCCATGAGGAAAGGCCTGAAATGGTAACTTCTGCCTTTTTAGGGGCCCTGGAAGTTCTTTTGCGTGGACAGTCCCCCAAACCCTGGGCTGCCCCCCGTGTGGAATAACCACTCAAGACAATGTGCTATGGGATTAAAATTGGCCACAACTTTATTATATTTCAGATGTGGGTAGACCTTGGCTCAGGCATTGGGCGTTTATCCCTCCCAGTCCCCCGCCAGGGATCTGGAGAACATCAGGGTTATCCAGTGTGTGTGTGTGGGGGGGCGGATCTGGAGAACATTTGTTCAAGCAGAGAGAGCCTGCCCCCGTTACACCACCGTCGTAGAGGAGAGCAATGACGACCTCTAGGCATTCGGCCAAAGCCTCCCCTCAAACAACCCCTTTAACGGGGAACCCTGGTATCACCTCAGCGAAGAGGAAGGGGGCGTGGGTCACCGCTGCACGCCCCCCCCCCATTCAGGGAAGATAGACTAAAGGATTCTGCCCAAGGCCTGATAACCGCCAAAGTTGTGATGTTTTGCTACAGGAAAGGCAAACCTGCCAGTGCAGGGGAATTCCTTTCCGGCCTTCAACAGCGACCTTGACGTAGCAGCGCCCGCGTACTTTTGGAGAAAAGGTTAACCTGCAAAAGAATTCTTAACTGAGGGTGGGTAGGGTGGGAGAAGCTCTGGAGCCAACTGACGATTCCCAGGTAAGATCCTCCCTCTGTTGTGTGGGCAGGTAGTCCCTCCCCCTACCTGGCCTGATCACCTTGGCAACGCTTCCCCAGGCAGGATTGGGCAACTGACTGAGGTAGGCGGAGACCTCCAGGTATCCCACTTGGGGGGAGGCGAAGCCAAGCCTGTGCTAATGGTGCCACATAGGGTCCTGGGGGCTGTGCACGACCACGCAAAGGGCGCCCCCCATTTAATGTGGGGAGCGGTCATTAAGAACCGAAGAAGAGCCTGCTGGATCAGATCTATGTCCAGCATCCTGTTCTCACAGTGGCCAACCAGTTGCCTGCACAAGAAAGACACGGGTGCAGGACTACTCTCTCCTCCTGTAGGTTCCAGTATCTGACATTCAGAAGCATTACTGCCCCCCAACAGTTTTTTTTAAAAAATAGATCTTATTTGATTTTCAAAAGGAATAAAAAGAGAACAAAAAATAAAAAAGAGATAACAAAACAAGAAACATACAACTAAAAAACAGTACAAAATTCAAATAACGAGATTACTCTAAATCTCTTGACTTCCCCCCCATCACCTCCATGGGTCCTTTTGATTCTATTTTCAACTGCATATCAAACTTCTCCAATTTTTCATCGTCCTAGGGTATCTATACAGTGGTACCTCGGGTTACAGACTCTGTTAACCCAGAAATAGTATCTCGGGTTAAGAACTTTGTTTCAGGATGAGAACAGAAATCACACAGTGGTGGTGGTGGGCGGCCCCATTAGCTAAAGTGGTACCTCAGGTTAAGAACGGACCTCCAGAACAAATTAAGTTCTTAACCCAAGGTACCACTGTATAATCAATTACATTACAGGTGTATTTAAAATCCTGCTACTGTTTTAACATGTTTACAATGATTTTGTATGTACATTATAAACATCCCCCCCCTTTTTAATTTCTTGTCTTCTTGATTTCTTAGCTTCCCTGTTAATTTTTCCATTTCAGCATAGTCCATTAATTTGGTTTGCCATTCTTCTCTGGTTGGGGCTGTCTCGTCCTTCCACCTCTGGGCTACTAACATCTGGGCGGCCGTTGTAGCATACATAAACAATTTCCTCTGATCTTTTGGAATTTTGGTACTTATAATTCCTCATAGAAAAGCTTCTGGTTTTTTTAAATAAAGGTTATTTTAAACATTTTTTTCCATTTCATTATATATCATTTCCCAGATTTTTTAAGTTACATTACAGTTCCACCACACATGATAAAAGGTACCACTGCCCCCAACAGTTGAGGCAGAATCAAGCCATTGGTACCCCTCTCCTCCATGAATTTGTCTAATCTTTTAAAGCCATTTAGGTGGGTTCTTGCCTCCTGTGGGAGCAAGTTGCATTGTTTAACTATTTGCTTCATGAAGAAGCTCTTTCTTTGATCTGCCGTGAACCTTCTACTCTCCCCATGCTGTGCACAATCTTATAAACCTCTAGCATGTCTCCTTTAACCCGTCTTTCCTCTAAACCAAGAAGTCCCAAACGTGGCAACCTTTCCTCATAAGTGAGTCGCTCCTTTCCCTTGATCAGTTGGGTTGCCCTTGGCTGAACTCTTTCCAACTCCACAATATCCTTTTTCAAGTTTGCGCGTTGGAGAGGGGCCCTCAAGGCAGTCCAATAATCAGTCCAAAAGGGATTCCAACTCTACTGAAAAGACATTGTTGAATATTTATAGGATAGTAGAAAAAAGAAAGAAAGGAGAACATCAGGAAGAACTTTCTGACAGTTCAGCAGTGGAACAGTCTCCCATGAGAGGTGGTGGGTTCTCCTTCCTTGGAGGGTTTTAAGTAGAGCTTGGATGTCATGGACTTGAGATTCCTGTGTTGCAGGGGGTTGTTTGTTTTGTTTATTACATTTATATACCACCTTTCTCTTCCAAGGATCTCAAGGTGGTGTACACATTTCAGTCCATCCTCACGTCGACCCTGTGAAGTAGGTTAGGCTAAGAGACGATGACTGGCCCAAGGTCACCCAGTGAGCTTCATAGCTGAGTGGAGATTCAGATCCTGCTCTCCCAGGTCCCAGTCTAACACTCTGACCATTATGCCACACTGGCTATGGGCCCGAGATACCTTGCTTCAAATCTCCTGGCTGCAAAGCCCATGGGCAAGTCACAATCTCTCAGCCTATCCTACTTTCGAAGTAGGCCGAGGCACCAGCTATTGAAATAGACTTAGTCATGGTTGAGAAGATGTCCCCATAGATGTGTTCTTGAGTCATAAGAAAGCTTTGCAATAGCCATTTCAAAAAACTAGAACTGTATAATACAATGTGAACCAGCCATCAAACACAGGAGCTTAAAAGAGCCTTGATGTTAGCACTCACTCGGGTCTGGTGACTTGTGTTTCAGTGTATCTGAAGAAGTGTGCATGCACACGAAAGCTCATACCAATAACAAACTTAGTTGGTCTCTAAGGTGCTACTGGAAGGAATTTTAAAATTTTGTTTCAAGCCCTCAGGTTACCTTCCGACTCTGCAGTTCTATGATTGTATGATTCACTCTGAACCTCAACCTTCTCCCCCTCTCAACCAGCAGGAGTGGTTTCCTGCTGACAGACATTACCTTAATTTAAATAAGAAATGCACTATATCCCATCCTAGTGGGAAAGACAGTGACCAGGTGAGCTGCGTGTTTGCTCAGTCTTTGTGACTGTTGATGGACAACTTCAAGAACCCTGTAGGTTTCCCTCCTCCTCCTCCTCCATTTCTTTAAACTGGACTGAGGCCAGCCAACATTTCAAAGAGAGGTTCACCCTCTGTAAAAGCAGGATGCCCAGGGCTCCTCCACATGGCAGTTTATCTTGTACTCGGTGCTGCTCATCAAAACAGTGTCTCATATTTCCATTTAACCCAGATTTATTGTTTCCCTGGAAAATTTGATAGGTAACAAAATCCCTGCAGAAATGGTAAGATATAGGAGATACAGGATGGTGTTTTGATGAGGATGGCACTGTGTGGATAGATGCTGCACAAAAATCACATGTATGGGACAGTCTGCCCCAAATCGTATGTATGAGTCTCACTT